AAAACTCCCCATTTTGCCGATTTTCATATGCTATAGTTCACCATCTTTTTTGGTGATCCAAAATTCTGACCTCATTTTTGCCAAAAAATTTCATGGACGTACGTTAAGACCTTAGCTTTGGAGTCAGTTGTCCCTTATAGCTAAAACTGCCCATTTTCAAGGTCAAACGAGCCCCGGAGCAGGTAAACCCGCAATTTTGCTGATTTTCGTGTGCTATAGTCCATGGACTTTTTGGTGATCCGGAATTCCGACCTCATTTTTGCCAAATATTTTCATAAACGTCCGTTAAGACCTTAACTATGGATCCAGTTGGCCATCATATCCAAAATGACCCATTTTCATGGTCAAACGAGCCACGGAGCAGGTAAATCCGTTATTTTGCTGATTTTTGTGTGCTATAAGTTCACCATCCTTTTTGGTGATCCAGAATTCTGACCTCATTTTTGTCGAATTTTTTCATAGACGTCCGTTAAGACCTTAGCTATGGAGCCAATTGGCCCTCACGGCTAAAACGCTCCATTTTCAAGGTTAAACGAGTCTCAGAGCAACTAAACCCGCCTTTTTGCTGATTTTCGTTTGCTATAGTCCATGGATTATTTGGTGATCCAGAATTCCGACCTTTTTTTGTCGAAATTTTTCATGGTCGACCTTTAAGAGCTTAGCTATGGAGCCAGTTGGCCCTCACGGCCAAAACGGCCCATTTTCAAGGTCAAACGAGCCCCAGTGCAAGTAAACCCCTCATTTTGTCGATTTTCATGTGTTATATTTCACCATTTTTTTGGTGATTCAGAAATTCGACTTCATTTTTCCCAAAATTTTTCATGGACATCCGTTAAGACCTTAGTTATGGAGCCAATTGTCCCTCACAGCCAAAACGGCCCATTTTCAAGGTCGAGCTATCCCAGAGCAGGTAAACCCCTAATTTTATCGATTTTCGTGTGCCATAGTTCACCATCTTTTTTGGTGATCCAGAATTTCGACCTCATTTTTGCCAAAATTTTTCAGAGATGTCTGTTAAGACCTTAGCTATGGAGCCAATTGGCCCTCACGGCCAAAACGGCCCATTTTCAAGGTCAAACGATCCCCGGAGCATGTAAACCCCATATTTTGTCGATTCTCGTATGCTATAGGACATGGATTTTTTGGTGATCCGGATTTCTGACCTCATTTTTTTCAAAAATTTTCATGGACGTCCGTTATGGCCTTAGCTAGGGAGCCAGTTGGCCCTCACGGCCAAAACAACCAATTTTAAAGGTCAAACGAACCCCGGAGCAGGAAAACCCCTCATTTTATCGATATTTGTGTGCTATAGTACATGAATTTCTTGGTGACTCAGAATTCCGACCTAATTTTTGCCAAAAATTTTCAATGATGTCCATTCAGACCTTAATTATGGAGCCAATTGGCACTCACGGCCAAAATGGTCCATTTTTAAGGTCAAACGAGCTCCGGAGCAGGTAAACCCCCATGTTTGTAGATTTTTCGTGTGCTATAGTCCATGAATTTTTTTGTGATCTGGAATTCTAACCTCATTTTTGCTGAAATTTTTCATGGATGTCTAGTAAGACCTTAGCTATGGAGCCAGTTGACCCTCACGGCCAAAACGGCCAATTTTCAAGGTCAAACGAGCCGAGAAGCAGGTAATCCCCCCATTTTACCGATTTTCATGTGCTATAGTCCATGGATTTTTTGGTGATCCATTTTGGGTGATCTGGATTTCCAACATAAGTTTTGCCAAAAATTTTCATTGACGTCCGTTAAGACCTTAGTTATGGAGCCAGTTGGCCCTCACAGACAAGACGTCCCATTTTCAAGGTCAAACGATCCCCGGAGGAGGTAAACCCCCCCCACCATTTTGCCGATTTTCATATGCTATAGTTCACCATCTTTTTTGGTGATCCAAAATTCTGACCTCATTTTTGCCAAAAAATTTCATGGACGTACGTTAAGACCTTAGCTTTGGAGCCAGTTGTCCCTCATAGCTAAAACTGCCCATTTTCAAGGTCAAACGAGCCCCGGAGCAGGTAAACCCCCCATTTTGCCAATTTTTGTGTGCTGTAGTCCATGGATTTTTTGGTGATTTGGAATTTCGACCTTACTTTTGCCGAAAATTTTCATGGATGTCCGTTAAGACCTTAGCTATGGAGCCAGTTGCCCCTCACGGCCAAAATGACCCATTTTCAAGGTCAAACGAACCCCGGAGCAAGTAAACCCCCATCTTGCCAATTTCCGTGTGCTATAGTTCACCATCTTTTTTGGTGATCTGGAATTTCGACCTCTTTTTTGCCAAAAATTTTCATGGACGTCCGTTAAGACCTTAGTTATGGATTCAGTTGGCCCTCACGGCCAAACGGCTCATTTTCAAGGTCAAACGTGCCTCGGAGTAGGTAAACCCCCCATTTTTCTGATTTTCGTGTGCTATAGTTCGCCATCCGTTTTGGTGATCCAGAATTCCGACCTCATTTTTGCTGAAATTTTTCATGGACATCCGTTAGGACCTTAGCTATGGAGCCAGTTGGCCCTTACGGCCAAAACGATCCATTTTCACGGTCAAACGAGCTCCGGAGCAGGTAAACCACCCATTTTGCCGATTTTCTTATGTTATGATATGCTAAGTGGCTTACATGGTTCCTTTCGGGGTCCTATGTGTTGGAAATATTACGGAAAATACCTTATTGAAGAACACTTGATCATATGGAATTCACCAAGACTTATACTTCACCATGAACTTTGTAGGGAATTCTTCAAGCTTGAGGCGTGTCGAAAGACACTGTCCTTAAGGATATTTTATCCGGTACAGGTGTATCCCCTAGGATTCAACAAGCTCTTCTAGTATAAAACTAGGAGCAAGAAACTAACAAAGATTTAAACAACAAAACCCAGCACACAAATAGAATATAAGAGGAATGATTTATTCTCAGAATGTATATTGTTCCCCTCTCATTGTGATAGAGGAAGACCACATTTATATGGCAATTCCACAAGGCCTCCAACGGTCATAGTAGGTAATTGGCTAATGATTAATGGGAGAATTAATTAGGCTAATGAATAGGTATGATATAGTTGGCAATTTGAGAATGGTAACAACTAATTTATAGCAATGAGACCAAGTCAAAACCATTCAATGGTAAGATAATTCTCTCAAATATTTATGGTAGAAATATGTTAAATAACATACTCATTAATAAGGAATGAAGGAATAAACCTTAGACTATAATATTAACAAGTCTTTTTGAGATACTAGAATCATTTTTCCAACACTATGTGTCATGTTAGTCTAGGGGTACCCTTGGGTCGTGACATAGTATGTACAATCTCACCATTTTTGAGAAATTTTTAAACACTTAGGCCTATTTATAGGATTTATGCGATTTTCTAACTATTTTTTTATACGCTCGGTAAATATGGATTTATTCATATATCAAGTGATTCTCTCACGTCATTTTCTAGGCAAGTCTATTTTTTTTTTCTTTAGATAAATAGTGATGAGCTATATCAGTCATCCACAAACCCCTATATTATTCTCTATTTACGACTACATGCCATAGTTTTTTGTCAGATAAATTTATCAACAATGGGACAACCAACGAAATTACTTAAGAATATATGTAGTTTAGACTATTGGATTATATCCTTCCCTATTGGTAGTTTGATACTTTCCCAACTGAATATAATTAGGCACTTTGACCTGTTTTTCTTTAAACAGAAGAATGAAAATGAGATTTTAATTAACAACAATGTTTGATGCAATGATTGTACCCATAATTAACAAATTTTGCACATAAGAAAAAATAGATTGAACATTGCAGATCTAGTTGTAAACTAGAGTAAATGAGAGAGCGATAGAGAATGAAGGCATTTGTGCTTCCTTTAGCCGATCCAAATATGACAAAAGTCAAAACATAAGTTAAGGCGTACATCATTAGTCTAACAAGAAATAGGCATATATGGTATTCTTTGAATGCACTTAAAATGAGAAACCGCCTTTTGATGCAGTCAAGACATCTATCTATCTATATATGTAATTAATTAATTAAAGTTGATGGTATGAGTTAATTAGTAGAACTTTACACCTAACATCTTTCTAGCTTGTCACTTTCATAGGATGATCAAATCCCTCTTATAAAGGATAGAACTAAGTTTGGAAATAAATTTACATTTGTGTGCCTAATTAATGATACTTATAAATTTATACTTGATGATATTAAAGAAAAGGGACTAATTTTTCACTTGATCAAAATCTCTCTATCATTGTTTTGATATGACCTGCCAGTCCCTTCTTCACAGGTAAGCAAGAGAGAAAAGCAAAAATGGTGTCCGGTTCAGGAATCTCCGCAAGGAGGATAGTGGTTGATGCTCGTCACCATATGCTTGGTAGGCTCTCATCAATTTTGGCTAAGGAACTGCTTAATGGACAGAGAGTTGTTGTTGTTAGGTGTGAAGAGATTTGTCTTTCTGGTGGACTTGTTCATCAGAAAATGAAGTATCTCAGGTTCCTTCGTAAGAGGATGAATACTAAGCCTTCTCATGGACCTATTCACTTCCGTGCTCCCTCTAAGATCCTCTGGAGGACCATCCGTGGGATGATTCCCCACAAAACTAAGCGTGGAGCAGCTGTTCTTGCCTGCTTGAAGGTTTACGAGGGTGTTCCACCTCCATATGACAAAATCAAGAGGATGGTCATCCCTGATGCTCTCAAGGTGTTGAAACTCCAAGCAGGACATAAATACTGTCTCTTGGGTAAGCTTTCATCAGAGGTTGGATGGAACCATTATGACACTATCAAGGAGCTTGAGAACAAGAGAAAGGAGAGAACCCAGGTAGCATACGAGAGGAGAAAGCAGTTGGCCAAACTCAGGGTTAAGGCCGAGAAGGCTGCTGAGGAGACGCTCGGTCCTCAACTTGCTAGTTATTGAACCTATCAAGTATTAGAGTGTAAACGAGTTTTTTTATCGAAGGTGAAATTTTGCTTGAGATTGAGATTTCAACTTTAATCTGTCTTTTAAAGATGCTACCTGTACTGCATGGTTCAGTTTTTGCTTCTTCTAGTAATATTTGAGCAGATTACATTGTTTAACTAAAAAAAAAAAAAAAGATATGACCTGCCAGTAAACTCGGAACTTTTAGCTAGCCCCGTCAAAATCCTAGCCGAAAAGGTACTAAAAACCTGTGTGTAAGAAAAATGTTTTGGACTTAGTAGAGAATGGTATGGTATGATATACTCCTCAAATTCTTTCCTCTTTCTCTTTCTCCTTCATAAATAGGGCCATCTATATTTTCTTCTCTCGTTGAATTTACATGATAAGTTTAAGGTGGGTCTCCCTATATACATTTTTGTAGGTAGCGTATAGCTATGACAATTTGGATGACCATGCCTAAAATTTTATATATGCATAGAGTATAACTATTTCGATACAGTACATTGGTCAGGGTTAAAGTGCACTCGGTGTCAACACTCTTGTTTGCTAGCAAGGAAAGGAACCTTTATCAAAATAACATTGGAGCAAAGAACCAAACACAATCGAAGAAGGAGATATATATGCCCAAGAAAATTCAATTCTTCATGCAAATATACCTAAATAGAATACAGATTAAGTATGCACATTTCTGAAACTCTTATATTTTTATGTAATTTGTGTTATGCTTTCAAGAGTGATCCAATTTGTAGAAATTGAACCTTGTTCATTCTTTTAATTTCTTGTAGTGAATTGAAGAGGTCAGGTGCTTTGTACCTTTTGACATCATTTATATATCCTCACCGGAACTATTGACAACAACAAAACAAAAAAAAAAAAAGAGTGATCCAATTTAAGCTTTTGAGAGATGAGAAAAATATACAACTTAAAGTATATGTACTATTCAATCCAGATTAATGTTAACACGCACTAACGAGGACAATTAACTTTGTGCTTTTATTCAAAAGAAAACAACTTACCGAATTGTTAAGTTTATTTATTATCTGAAAAGAGCCAGCTAGTATTATTTTATCTCTACTTAGCTTGGTTTTCGTTACCTGAGAATCTATTTCTCTCTTTTGGCCAAGGGCAAGCTAGCTCCCATTATTAATTATGTATAAGAAATATATAACAACACTTTCTTCAAACACCATACCAATTTACATAGAAATGTTAAGGTTAGGAAATCACTAGATCTAGAGAATAAACGAAATTATATTATTAGAAGGTTAAATATGTTTTTGGATTTATAAATACGTACATGATCATGATTGGTAGTTAATTAATTTGTAAGGCTAACATTGAATTTATGAGGGTATAAAATTGGAGTGGACGAAACAATGCAATAAAGGAATGACACCCTTCAATATTGAAACTATTTAACATTACACTTGACATTTGACATGCTCTTATATTCATACAAATACCATATAACATGTTTAAGCTGCAAGTTCTTAATGTACTTGTGATATGTGCAACAACTCTTTTTTTCTTTAACTCCACATGCACTCGTCAAAGATGAAACGAAAGGAGTAATACTAATTATGCTTCTGTATCATAAAATGAAGAAAAGAGGACTTACCTAAGACAAATGCTTACTTCGAATATCAAACCAGCAAAATCCTGTATGTATATCCAAGCTCAAAATCGATCGGATGACAAACCCTGAGTAGTGTAAATATATATCGTAGAGATCTTTAATATATGTGCACTACTAGGAAAGATTAAAAAAAAAAGTATGTTAGAGGCAGCTAATTAATTGTTTAAAGGAAGGAGACAATTTAGAAAAGGGGTTGTTACCTTCCTCCCCGTATTTGATTTCAGATACAAATATATAGGAGTACCATTTTCAAACAAAACTCTCATGTTCAACAGATGTATGCAGAGATGAAGATACTAAGGTGGATATGTGGCCATACTAGGAGCGATAAGATTAGGAATGAGGATATTCAGAATAAGGTGGGAGTACTAGCCTCCGTGGTGGACAAGATGAGAGAGGCGAAATTGAGATGGTTAGATTATGTGAAGAGGAGATGATGCATCAGTAAGGAGGTGCGAGAGGTTGGCTAGAGGGTACGGAGAAAGGCAGAGATAGACCGAAGAAGTATTAGAGAAAATGTGATATGACACGATCAGCTCCAGATTATTGAGGACATAACCTTAGATAGGAGAGGGTGTGGAGGACACGTACTAGAGTAGAAGACTATAGTAGGTAGTGTAGTGTTGTCGTAATTAGAGTGGTTGGTGTTTGTCATTGTACTAGTTGTAATATACTTATTTTTTTTATAACCATCAATATTTATTATTGTTTCCATTACTCTACTTTAATATGTTGCGTAAAATTTGATTGTTTTCTTGTGACTCGGTATATTTTAATTTTTTTTGTTTCTGGAATTGGTAAAGCTAAGGGTCTTTTGAAAACAGTTTATCTATCATCATGACGTAGTGATAAAATATGCATACATTCTAATCTCTCCAACCCCACTAGTGGGATTCTATTGGGCATGTTTTTGTTGTTGATGTTGTTTCTCTTAATTAACAAGATTAGGCTGAGGCACGTTGATTTGTTAGCTTTTTAGAATAAAAAAGGCATACATATAAATGTGACAGGAAGAAGTTACTAAAGATTTTAAAAAAACAATGATATATATGATGACTAGTGACTAGTGAGTGAAGAAATTAAACATACATACTAGTAGAAGCAACTTTAGAAGTAGGTAGCTCGCATGATCAGTTGATGATAGATGACCAAGTTAGTCAAGATGAAATGCTATGTACGTACCTTTTATAAAAGCTAGCTAGATCTGAAGCAATCGCAGTACCGGGGGCGTGCCCAACGAAGCAGCGACAAGAACAACAACCTACCAAAGGTAATAAAAACAAAATTCATTCATGAATGATGAAAAAGAAAGCACGACTTTTGTTAATTCCCTTCGGATCCCATCATTCATTAGCCTGACTGACGGCGAGAGGAGCTAGTTATGCATTCCCACTGGGAAATCAATACAGCAAAGTTTGTTAGAGAGAGATAAGGAAACATATTTATGAATATAAGTAAATAGAAAACACATGTATAATTAAGTAATAAGGCTCTTTTTTTTCTTGTTTTTAATCACTGAATGACTACATTACCCACTTGAAAAATCAAACATAAAATAACCAGCTATAGTGTGATATTTTACTAGTATTTGCAAAATATTTCATAATCGTATTATTACACAAATTCAACTTGGACATTGTTTTCCATTTGAAGGACGGGATTTCTTTGTGCGGGATGGCCCGTACCACTTAGGTTAATTCTCTTCAATTTACACTTTTGTGGAATTATCAAATATCCAAATCCAAATTCAAGGACATGGATGCCTTGCCTTTGTCGAACGATTCTTCTTCGGTGGCTGCCGGCGGGTTGGTATCATAGTTGTTAAAAGTTCTGAATGATAATGATGAAAATTGGGGGACATGAGAATAAGTTGCTGTAGTGGCGGGATTAGGCAAGGAAGAAGACGAGGACGTGATTTCACATGATTCATCCGAGTCTGAGATGGGACAGTCCATATTCACACCGAACAACCTGAATCGCTTTGCTGCTGCCTTGCCTTGAACAACCGGTACGGAGTCGAACACCACTGGCTCCACAACCCTGCCACTAGTACTATTACTATGACCTCTTAATTGCATTAACCCAGCCTGTTGTGGGACTTGGGCTGACCCCGATCTGAGATAAACTACTGACCCGCTCGGACAAGGGTTTCCATTTACCACGGTTGTACGGCTGTTGTTGAAATTACAAGTGTCGTAGTAATAATTAGGACTGGATCCGTGAGATTGTTGTTGATGATGATGAGACATGCTGCCAGCTGCAGGTTCCAGGGAATATTGTAAATGTGAATGGTCAGGAGGAGGAGGAGGCTGCAAAAAGAGAGGACGATTCCAAGCAGCAGCAGCTGGGTACTGAATATTAGAGCGGTACAAGTTATTATGGAGATGATGATTAGTGAAGTGGGTGTAGTGGAGATGGTCGGGGGCGTCTGGACGGCGCCTCCAGTCGATGAAGAGACGATCCTTGCCCAATTCACCTACTCCACGCTGAAATGAGACAATATCCCCAGCATCGAGCTTCTTCTCCTTGACGAAGCGGCTCCAACCTTTGGTCATTACATAGCTTTGACTGCTATTCCAATAGGAATATCTGAAGCGCCAAGGCTTTCCATTCCTGTCTTCGAAATTGAGAAGGAGGCCTTTCTCGTTGGTAGAGGAATCCAGAGGAAAATACTTTTCAGCGTGCTGTTTGGGGATGACTAACCGATTGAGCTTGCCGACGTCACTGGGAGTGACTACCTTATCGAACATGTGTTCTCGCTCAATCGTATTACTTTCACCAACTTCATCTGCAGGGTCAAGATCCATATTCATCACGAGATCAGTACTATCTTCACCATTATTAGTGGTGCTTCTTTGCTGATAAGAGAAATCAGGAACTATAATCTTCTGGCTGGAAGAAGAAGAATGAGAAAATTGGCGTGTACCTCCTTGATCGAAGAAATTCATGATCTAGGACCCAGCATAGATCTAATTAGAGAAGATGTGATGGGAAAAAAGTAATTGCGTCCAGTAGTTATTAGTGTGAGAGGAACTGGAACTAGATAGCTAGGGTTGAAAGAAAGAGTATCCTCATAAACTAGAATACTCTTTGTTGTCGTCCTCAAAGAGGCCGTGATGACTCTCATTAATTATCACCCATTCCGGAGTAGTCAGATTCAAAAGCCGCCTCTTTCTTCTCTCTTCTTCTTTGTGTCTGTGTGTGAGAGGGAAGGAGGGAGAGATAGAGAGAGACAAGGTACGTGGGTAATTTGTCTAAGTGGGTGGAATCTTCTTTTTTAAGTTAGGTAAATTTCATTCTAGTTATTCTCTTTTAGACTTTCTTCCTTCCTTCCGAGTTCATTTGCTCGTTGGGTCGTGGCCCACGAATTATCTGGTTGGGTTCATGTGAGCTCGTCCTTGTCATCGCACTGGTAGCATCCCAATTAAATTTTCTTTTACTCCTACTAAATATATTCTACTCTACTAGGAGTACAATATAACTTAACTCCTCTCTCTAACTATCTTCTTAACCTTACTTTTACTTCTTTTATTAATAAGGGATCAAGTATACCTACGAAACAAATTTATGATCACTCCCTCACACAGAGTCACACTACATACCCGTAGGGGTTCACGGTGAGGGTAAAATCCCATCCAATCCAAAAATTAAACTAAATCGGAATGATTAAATAATGGAAAAATTGTAGTATGAAATAGAAAATTATTAATTCAAATTAAATGATATAACCATAGTTTATTTTAATTGTAATTCGCAGCAAACATCTCATTTTTTTGCCATTTGATTCGATATATAATTAGTCATTTTCGGTATACAATTAGTAATTTTTTACATTTCGGTATAAAATGTATAAAATGTGTTTGTGTTTGTATAAAGCGAGAAAAAAATGTATATACAAATACAAATATATATATAATACAGATCTTATTATACAAATTGTATAAATGAATTTATACGAAAATGAACAATTTGTATAAAATTGGATGTTTGTAGCGAATTATACAAATCAAAAGCTCCATAGCAAACATAAAATTTGTTATGGAGCGCAATTGTGCAAACTATAGTTATAACATACAAATATGATTCTTGTGTTTGTTGTATAATTAACTTCTATTTGGTTTTCGTTTCAAAAAAAATTAAATCAATAATATTTTATTGAGTTTTATTTTGTTCAAACAAAACAAAAGAATATACATATCTTTAATTAAATATACATAATATATTATGTTTTATGAACAATTTGAATATCTTATAGATATTTTTATTTATTTATGAAAGTGAAAAAAAATTAAAATAAAAAAATTCAACAAAAGGTCAATTCGAATCCAAGCCGAAAACCAAAAAGAAAAAGAAAGAAAAAAAGCAATAGCAGCCATTTCGGATTTCTTGTTGTTAGATAAAATTAAACTCTTCAAGGTTTTCAAGGTCATAACTGGTGGTTGATGGGTTGTTTGGTTATCCTATATTTGCTAACTAATTTGTTTTTTTCTATTATTCCACTTTGTATTTTATTTTCGTGTATGATTAGTAATTGATAATAATCAATCCAATAAATGTATATTATATTTAATTAAATTAATTTTATTTTAAATTTGATCAATAACAAAACCCAAATCGACCCATCAATACCCCTGCCTAAGGTAAGAACGTTGATGAAAGTGTTACTTAAAGTACAACAAAATGTGTTGAGTGAAAGCAAGTGTAAAGACATCCCCGTGTATTGGGTTGTCTTATTCAGGATATGGATTGTTGATGTTGGAACTTTCACGGTGATAAATCAAACGTTAATTGAAAAATAACTTATAATTACCACCCAATTGTGATATTTGTGTCGTGTTGTGATGCTACTTGAGACTTAAGTCATTGCTTCCAATCCGATAAATCCAAGTTTTATGTTTCTTTTAGGATAGACATTTTGTTTTTTGATGTGTTTAGTGGTGCAAGACCTAGAAGATGGAAATACAATGTTAGAGTATCAAAATAGAGTTTTTTCGAAAAACAAGTCTCAAACGCTTTATATATTGTTTGTATTTGGATCTGTGGTCCAAAGTATGATTGTACAGGGGCATAGTAATAGGGGCATAGTAATATTTGGTGGAGTAGTAATAGGTATCCATTTGAAAGAAGGAGTTTTAGATTCAAACCCCAAATAGCACAATATCTTTTTATTTTATTTTTAATAGAAATAGAAATTACGATCAATAAATTCAACTCTAACCCAGAAGGCTTCGAGACCTTCTATCCATTGCTCACTATTTCCCTCTGTCATCTCCCTCACTTCCTGATAGTATTTTTGTCTCTCTCACAACTCTCTCAAAATTGACTCAAATTATTTGATCGAGATAAGCACATACTAACTTTATTTGCTATTTGTGAGTCTAAGATGTTAGATCATCGTTATGGTAGCTTAAAACACTAAAATTTGAATTTAGGGCAAAAAAATTAAGGATATTCGCATTTAAGAATGTCCAAATATGAATGGGCATCAAAATCCTTGAGTTTTCATGAGTTTGTATCAAAATAGAGGTTGGATAAGCTATGGGGTTGTGAGTAGTTGGTTTTGACGCATAAAATTGCAAAAATTGGCCGATGTTTGCATGTAATTTTACTGTGATTGATTGAAGAAGAATTTTTTTGCGGTTTGTATATATCTTATATATATCCACACTCGTGAACTAATATACTAATTGTAAATTCCAAAGTAGATAGTTTTTGAAAAGTGCTTCTAAGTGTATTTTTGAAGATAAACTATTTTAGCTCCTAAAAAATAATTTTGTTACTTGCTAAAAATATTTTTTTTTTCTCTTAAGAACTTATCAAACACCTCACTTTTCAATAATAAGCATTTTTGTACTAGGACATAAATTATGATTATGGAGTATTTTTTATGATGCAAAATAAACTTATGCCCGATAAGAGAAAATTACTACTATATTAGAGTAGCATAACATAAGGGTAAAAGTGGAAATAGATCTTTTGTTTTTGCATTTAGGCCCACGGCAAGGCCAGCTGTTCCTTAAAGCACGAGTTTCTAATATAATCCTAATTAAAGCCACTAGCCTCGTCTTGTTTGTTTTCATTCACTTTAATTTTGTGATTTTGGGGAGGGCGGCGTAGGCATTAAAATTTGGGAGATAGTTGCAGTGTGGTGTATTATGAACAGAGTAGTATTAATTATTTGTGATAGTAAGCTAGTATAGTAATAGTAATAACTAATAAAAATATTTGCAAATGGTTTGTTAATAAGACACAAGGACGTAGACGTCAACTAGCATTTTCGTATAGGCTAGTATATTCATTAAACAGGATTTGGATTATTGACTTGCTGTCACTACACATAAATGAATCCGTACTAATTAATTAAGTCGATGCTGGGCCTTGATAGGCTGCTAAGGGACTAGCTACATACCTACTACTTTCATAAGATTCCTTTACTCTCTGAGCTCTATATATAATTATATATATCACAAGTGCTATTTGAACATTATAATTATAAAATGAAAGTCATTAATTAGTAGTAGTAAATATATACATGTAGGTGGTAAATAATGAATAAATTAGAGTATAATGAACTGGTGATGTAGGTAGTTCTTCAATGTATATTGAATTAGATAGATCGGGGACCAGGTAGGTCTCCTTTACTATTTATTAGCATAGGCATGAAATAATAATAATAATAATGTTTTGTTCGAATATATATAGTATGAGTAGTAATGCTAATGCATGTGTAAGGGAAAAAGAGAGAGACGCATCCCTTTCTCAGGATTGGCTGGTTGCTTGAAGCAGACAGTCTATCATAGAGAGGGAGAGGACCACCTACGCCTTGGATCGGAGGCCAATGATGCCATCCTCATGGACCATGTGGAAATCCCCAATATCTTCTCTTCTCTTTTTTTTTTTCTTTTTTCTTTTTCACATACCTATACCTATAATATACTATGTGAATAAGTAAAAGTGAATATTAGAAAATCTTTCTTATATAATGTACACCGGTTTAAAATTATATACTATGATTCCTTCAAAGTACAATTTTGTTGAATACTCCATACATATCTATTTTTCATTAAGAACAAGAATTAGTAGGTGTAAATCCTAAAGCATGGTAAATGGCAAATTTGATTATTTATATATATTGCGCGTGCTATAGGTGGTCCAAATATGCATGTGCCAAATATGCTTTGGACAAATCTTCAGGGACGTAAAATAAAATTTCACCGATCATATACAAAATTCTAAATTTTTATTATCTATTCATTTGTCACGCTCCTACATAAACTAGACGATGCTCGCCCGTGCTAGCACGGACCCAACATTATAAAAGTTAAGCATTGTGTATTTTTTTTCATTACCTCTCTTTAGTTATTAAAATGACAGAAAAAAATATAGTTGAAACTTCTACAGGTGATGATAACCACTTCATAATATTTACAATCCACGCACTATGTAGACACAATATATAATAATCAAATAATCACATTACGTATAGAATGAAAAAGTGAATATAAAAGAAAACTAATGCTTACACCGACCATGTGAATATAAGAATTCACCGTCCAGGCATTTCATCACACATTGTGATCAAAATAAGATGTTACATTATAAGGTCTCTACAATTCATGAACCAAAATAAAAGTTTAATCTTCTTACAAGTTACAAGGAGTCCAATACATGTAAGATAGCCTTAAATTCATCTATATATACTACCATTAGACATTTTGTGTATATACTACGATTAAACATTTTGTGTATTGATGACGGATGAACATGAACGAAAAGTAAGTAAAACCTAACAGTTAAATCAAAACAAAAATAAATACAAGAGACATACATATACAAAAGAAATAAATAATTCCATGAAGAAATTGTTGTTGTTCATGTGCACCTGCATTAATATAGTTAGTAGCTATAGTAACTATCAAAAGTAATTTGCAAACTTCTCTTGATTTTTGAGACATGCAATGCTGGATATGAAAAAAAATAGAAGGTTGAATATGATCCTCTATTGGGTGTTCTAGAGATAATAGATCTTGATGATAGTTGTAAAAGTACTACAAATTACCACTATGATTTATCATCTTTTTTTTTTATATTTAAAGAAGAGGACCACACTTAAGCAGGAAGAGAAGGCAGAAAATAAGAAAAGTAAAAAAAATTATGATGATTTAATCATATTATCAAACAAAAACAGATACCACGAAAATCCCGTTAGCCATGGTGCATTTTTAGGAAAATGGGAATCAAGAACAGTAAAAAATTAAACTTA